ATGGCAAGATGGAAAGATTTCCAGACGATCCTGCCTTTGTGGCTGAACAGCTACATGAACATCAGGTTGAAGAGGAGGGCCCAACAGCTGCACTTGACAGGGACTGCATGGCACTGGGTGGAACATATGAAGCAGGAGGCGAGCAGAAGCAAGGCGCAGAGACAGCTATGACACAGTCTTCGAAAGGTGTTTCCCAAGAAACGGATTCGACAGTGAAGGACTCTAGTAGCTCAAGTTTAAGTCAAGGGGCAGACACAGCAAGGCATCAACGATGCGAAACAAGTGGAGACACTCCAGGCACTCCTTCCTTTCTGGAGCTGAAGGCAAGCCAAAGTGAGAGGCCACCACCCAGATGTGCAAGCAGTGTGCCACAAGTTCAGGCGAATTCTATTGCTACACAGCCCAGAAGAGTGCCTGAGGAGAGCACACACCGGCTTTCTGAGAATCAACGTAGGGCGACTGCGACAGCAAACAGTCCAAACACTGCCAGGCAGCCTGCCAAACCGACTCATGTTCCCTTCTCTGAGGTGCCCACCAAAGGATCAATTCCATTGAAGGAGGGCGAAACCGGAAAGGGCCCAGACGGCATGGAAATGCGCCGGTGGCTAACTTCGGAAAGTGGACAAATTGACTTGGAAAGAAGAGGGGCAGGAAGGAGTAGCACGAAGACCAAGGCGAATCCAAGTGAAGCTTTTGAAGCCTTTTTTGGACAGTCAGAACATTTTAGATCCTTTCATTTTGCTGAAGGTTGATGTCTCCGTTCAAACAGAGTCCGTCACACAGTGTGCAAAGTGTGTCCAGAAATGCTCACTCTCTGGATCTGAGGACTTTGACTGGGCAGGCTGTCCTTTACACGTGTTTGCAATGTGATAACTGAGACCTGTCATGCATCGTTTTTGTCTCCCTTGCTCTTTGCCATGCAGCTAGCTACGTCTTCCTTTTTGTATTTCAGAGCCATTCTTCCTGCGTGCAGGGACTGGGAAGCCATGCCCTTAGCCTTGGCACATGTTTTGCGTCGTAGGCTTCTGAAAAGCACATCAATCAAAGAATGAGAGAGACAAAGATAGAGCTTGTTGAATAGCCGGTTTGTCACCACAGGTTACACGGAGGCACGGCTTCCGTCGCCAGGCTCTAAGTTGGTGATCTTCCGAACAGGCTGTTTATTATGTTCTTCTGCTTAGGTGTAGCTTGCACAGAGCACCTTGGCTTGATTGCAGAAAAGGAGGGAAAAGTTAGAAGCACATTCTCCTCCAGCGTGCAGAAGCTCGCAGAACCTTGTATATAGCTTCTCATAAGGAGACCAGAGATGTATCGCAGACCGCAATGAAGCTAGCGCTTGAGACTCTTCAGCAAGAGAAGGACCTAAGCTAAGCTGCATCAAGAATGGTCATGAAGCAGGCAGCCGATGTGCCATTGGGTGAATTGGGTGCCCTTTGGCAAGGTTCTGCGATGTTGTCCGTTGCCAGCATGCTCACGTTTGGATGAGACCAATGCCAATGCATATATAATATGAATTTATAATATTATGTTACTACCTATATTAACAATAACAATAATAATGTATTTTGGCTATGTGCACTTCTACTATATTTTATATTGCGCATGTTTTATGGACGCCAGATCCAAATTTGTGATCACATCGTCCCAGACAGAAAGGAATCAAGATGGTAAAACAACAACTGAGCAACCTACTCAAAAACGACTCAAGATAGAAGCTCACGTTTGAGAGCAACTGAAACGGTATACTCAGGACACAAATTAGACTCAAGGAAAAACACACTGAAGAAATGAGGAAAACTCAAGGAACAACTCAAGAGAAAGTCAAAGAACAAGTAAAAACCGGCCAGTCTTTGCGCACAATGGCGTAGAACTCTTGAATGCACGCCTGAAAAAAGGAAACACCTTGCTCCTTGAGTATTTGTTGAAGTTTTTTGAGCCCAATTTGCGTCCGAGTTGAACTGTTTTTTAGTTAGTTTTGAGTTTGCTGTTGAGTTTACCTTGGATTCGAGTTTGTTGTTTTTGAGTTGAGAACTGTTTATTTGTGCATTACTTTTATTTTGTTGATGATTTCAGCCCTGTTTGGCCACTGCAATGTCACAAATCTATATAAATATTGGCTCTACTTGGTTATAGTACTAGTGTGATCTAGTGTGTTGAATTTTGACGCAAGTTGAAACCATGCAGCGTTCAATGCAGGCACGTGCACCTTATGTTGCCGTGCTCAGCAGTGCTCCGCTGTCCTCCTCGGTGCTCTCCTTATACTTTACTGTAACTGTAACCTTTTTGGGGTGAGCGGACCAGCAAGCACATATTCTATGGTGCCATTGCAGGTTGTAGGGAGCACACAAGTGTGTCAGACCACAAGGTTGGACACAATTGGCAGGAACAAGGACGCTACTAGTAACAAAGGGCATCGCTACTAGGAGCAAGGACTCTACTAGGGGCTCCTGGCCTTACTACTAGGAACAAGAAGCTACTAGGAGCAAGGGCATCGCTACTAGTAACAAAGGGCCTTTTTCACTTGCATACGCACCAAGTTACATATTGGTGCGCACATGCATGCGTGTGTGTGTGTGTGTGAGTGTGTGTGTGTGCACCTTTGGTTGGGCTATGTTGGGCTTCTTTTCAGAGGACTTCAGGAAGTACAAGCTGGTAGGGCCAACTTGCCTGGCAAAAAAACATTGCAGTAGAGGTGGGATCAGGGTTACCAACAAAGAGTGAAACACCTGGCCTCACTCTCTTTAGTGTCTTCTTCCCGGGCTTGCACAGGCATGTTTTGCACTCAAAAACGGTGTCTTACTAAAGGCTCAGCACCCTCGGGCGATGTACAAGGCAAGCCCTTGCGGCCCAGAGATCGTCATTCTGTGACACACACACGCACACACTCTCTCTCTATTTGTAGCTTTACAGGTTTTGCAATCTATTGCAACTTGACGAATGACCGACAACTACTGTATATGATATATGCAGTTCGCATCGACATCTCACTGTCACAAAAGAAAACATGGCTGCTCTCCAGGAAGATTTGCAACAAAAGCTCAGGGCGAGCCAAAAGGAGGTTCTCAGGCAATTCGTGATGAATCTCTGAGAGCTGCGTGGAGATGCTAAATCTTTGTAGCCAACCTATGTGCAGGTTGGAACTTCGAGACGAGGACGAAATCAAAGCAATGGAAGCTGGTGCCTCAGCGTTGCTTGCGTCAGTGGCCAAGCTGCGAAGCCATGCGAAGCTACATTTGTTTGAGGCCAATCAAAACGTTCTGCTTAGACGCGAGAATGATGAGTTGAGGAAGATAGCATTGGCGGCGCCTCGCTTTTCAGAAGTTTGTTGAATCTGACTTGTATTACATGAACATATTTGTAGATTCGCTGGAGGCTCTGCGGCAGAATCCACAGGCACATCAGTGATCAGTATGTTGTAGGCACTTTTACTT